CCATGATATGGATAAGCTATAGTTTATCCATTAATCAGATGATGAACATTTGGACTGTTTCAACATTGTAGCTATTCTAACTAATTATGCTGTAAGCTTCTGTGTACATGTTTTATGTAAACGTGTGTGCTCATTTCTCTTGGGGGCATATCTAGGAGAGGAATTGATGGGTCCATTTGAGGAACGGCCCACTGTTTTCCGAAGAGGTTTCATCATGTGATTTTTTTTTCCAGTAGCGTATGAAGATAGTGAATACTTTTAATTGTATTAAAATATGCATAGTGTAAAAGTCTCCTTCTTAATCACTTTTAGGTATATGGTTCAGTAATGTGAAGTACACATGCATTTTTGTGCATCCAATCTCTTTTTACCTTGCAAAACTGAAACTCGGTACCTATGAGTCCCCCATTTCCCTTCCCCCAGCCTGTGGCCACCATCATTCTACTTTATCTCTGCGAATTGAGCTACTCTAGTTACCCCTCCTATGTAGAACAATATGCTATTTTCCTTTTGGGAACTAGCTTATTTCACTTAGTTTAATGTCCTGAAATGTTATCCATATAATAACAAGTATCAAAATTTCCTTTTTTTAAGGTTAAAAAACTGCTACTGCTGGTGTAAATCACATTTTGTTTCTCCATTCATAGGTCTATACTCACCTGTTTCTCCTTTCTGTCTACTTTCAATTATGCTGCTATGAACATGAACGTCCAGAGGAGAGTGAATCTTACCCTTTTGTGTGCATAGGAAACCTCAGCAGCCTGTTAAGATGTGTGTTCGGAGGACTCGTTACCCCATCCCTGATTCCAGTTCAGAATGTCTTGGTTGGAGTTTAGAAGTTTGCAGGCATTTTAGGTTATTCTAGTACAGGTAGGGCTCCAATCCTATGAAGTTAAAACAAAGGATCATTCCTCTTGGTCCCTCCAGTGAAATCTGGTTTGCACCCTCTCTCTGCTGCCTCTTTCAGTGATCTTCGCATCAAAAAGGGGGCATTAGGTTACTTTTGTGGTTCTCCCCTTCTTTCCTTACACGTGTAGTAAAAATCTTTCCGAGGTTCTACTTCATGACACCAAGAGAACTTGAAGCAAGAGCTCGTATATAGGACAGTGTTTTGCTGTTCCTGGAATTCGCTTTTAGAAGGACAGGATTAGACATGAGAAACCTAAAATAGAGAGGTGCTAGACCACAGCACAAACCCCATCATCTCAGGAGCAGTGTGTCTCTGCCAGAGAGAAGTCAGAAATGTCCTAAGGGGAAAATGAGAACCTGGTCAAAATTTCTAGGGCTTCTTGAAAGTATTCACTGATTAGCTGATGAAAACTTGTGTGCCAAAAGTATTAATAGCACTGCGAGAGACAGGTGTCCAAGAGTGGAAGCTAAATCAGTGACCTATTTATCTTTGTCATATTTGACAGTCAGCTTGCTGTGTGACCTTGGGCTACTTATTTTATCTTCCTGAACCAACTTTCTTATGCAGTGAATTGGAAGCAGTCTTCAAAGTTTTGAATCTGTTTTTTGCAGAATCACTGACTGGCATGCTAGTTTCTCACTGATGTTGATATGTGTGGATGGAAAGCTAAAGATTTCTGAGAGTGAGCTTATTTTGCTATGTTTGGGTTTAAAACACTGAGATACTGCAGGGTAGCAGCCACAAAATCTCATGATTTAGTAGATGAATAAAGGCAAAAGTGGTTGGACTTGTGGTTATGATCTTTAAATGCACATCGGCTGGGAATTTAGCATAGTGGCACTGCACCTGCCTCGCAAATGCAAGGTCCTGAGTTCGCTCCTCAGTACCAAAAAAAAAAAAAAAAAAAAAAAAAAAAAAAAAAAGGCATATTTACATGAGTAGCAAACACAAGGATTTGAAGACATCGATTTACTTAGATAATTACATACTGCAACTTTCATTTTTCCTGAATGTAAACGACTAAACGATAAAGTACTAATTATTGCCATTTTGTTCTTGAGTATCTTATTTTATAGAAACTTGGGCCACCATCATTGACAATCAATAGAATATTTAGAAGCTTTTCTATCTATAAATCTGCAATTATGCACAGAGGTACAGCTGTCATAGTGGCCATCTCGATGAATCTTAAGCAGCCTGAGATCTCAGAGAAGCTCTGGAATCATGAAAAAGATTGTTTCATCAGGTTTACTGACAGTTCTGAATCTTGGCAGTCACTTTCTAATTGGTTAACCTGATGAAAGCTTATTACTAGTAAGCTAGAACTTACAAGTTATCTAGAACAAAATAGTAGCTCCCTTCCATGGGGAAACTGGACAAGCAGAAGAATCTACAGGTTAGTCATTCACATTCTGGCTCTGCCACTTCCCAGCCCAGCTAGAGTTGGTTGAACAAATTTTTCAGCTGTTTAGTCCTTTCATTTTATTATCAATAAACTGGAGAAAATAAAAGCACCTACTCATGGATACACTGAGTTAAAAAGTATAAAGTGCTTTGAATGTCACCTATAACAAACATTCGATAAATGTTAGTTTATTGTTGTAGCACTTGCCAATTTGTTTGGTGCTTTTACTTATATTTCTTTATTTGAGCCTTACAATAACTTTGTAAGATGAGTGAGGCCAATGTCATAAATAAGGAAGGTAGATTAGAAATTTGTCTTGCTCATGTTCTGGCTAGTAAGTCTTGACAATGGGGCTCTCGATGTATTGTGGCTGCTAATCTATCCTTCTCACATAGTAGGATCGCCTGTCCACCTATGCTGAGAAAATAGTGCTGTTATATATAACATGGTGTTCTTTTCCTGGGACACCATCTTGTGAGTATTTGAGTTTCAGATTAAGGTACAAAAGGAGAGAATATTCTGGATTTTGTAACCAAGGATCATTTTACTGACTTCAAGTGGTATACAAGTATCACACAGTGACTCAATCCCCAGATTAAAGAAGTTACATTTGACAAATGCTTGTGTGAGTTACCATCTTTCAACAATGGCTAAATTAGTGACGTTACCTTTCAAGTTTAGTGCTTTCCTGAACATGCTAATACATAAAAGAAGGTTGGGAAAGAGTTGAGAGAAATAAACCTGTAAATGATACCTTAGTACAAAAATTCTAGGATTATTTTTCTATAAAGTCTCATCTAAGTTTCTTGACTTCCTCAGTGGGTTCTTAGTATCTTGTGACATGAAGTGTTGTCCCGTTAGTACTAAGAAAATCCCTAGAAAGATACAAATTCAGTAGTTATGGTATCTAAGCAACAAGCAACAGTGACACTACTTAGATCCACACTTGCTCTCCTCCAAGTCTGGATCCTTGTTGGAAGATGAGGATTCTAGCCCTATAGACTGTACAAATGGAGCTCTGTTGACATCAGATGGTCTTACCTGTAGATAAAGAAATGCAGACTAGAAAAGAACTACATAATCATCCAGAGATACAAAATGAAAGAGAAATATAAACCAAAGACAGTTTGAAATATGCACCTCTATTTTATAGGGCATGGCTCTAATGATGTTTTCTTCAGTGAAATTATTCACTTTGATTTTAATGACAGAGTAGTTAGCAAAATTCCAACTCAGATTTAGTCATTTGATCAAATAGTATAATAATTAAAAAATTTGACTCGTGAGATCTGATTTTTGCTGCCTGAACTTCAGTACCATTTAGGAAAATGCAGTAAGTATTTCTAGGTTATCTGAGGGATTGTGACATGGATGCAAAGCATTAGTCTATTCTTTTTCCTTTAGCCCCAAAAGTTGAGATGAAATCACCAGACTTAATCATTTTGAATCTATGTGGCTCCTCTGAGATAGGGCCAGATGTAACCAGACAGATTTATCGAGTGTAAAATTCAGAATGCATTGGAAAAGCCTTTCTGCGTTCAGCCCAACACATCCTAAATCAACATCCCCTGAATGGACCAGAGCAATCTCAGCTGGCCTTGTGGGGAGTTGTCATGGCAACCGACTGGCAAGCTCTGCCAGTGGAATGTGAAAGCAAACAATAGAGTGATAAGATTGTGTGTACAGCAGCAGGCTGTGGTTGCTTCTACCCAGTACGGTGACACACAGCAGCCTTGTGAGCCTTGTGAGACCGATCCTTGTAATTTTGGCTGCTCACTTGAAATATAGTAAATTATCAATTTAAAATTAGTGTTGATGATAGGTACTAAAAGCTATGGAAAAATCAGCACCCAGTAGATAGTCTCAATAATATACAAAAGCCCAGAGGATATTAGACTAATACCATTCAAAAATATCCTACAGGAGACTGAAGTAGGTTTAAAGTAACACCTATGACTCTTTACTGCCACCTCGTGTCCTAATAAATACTAAAAATTTACTAGAAGCCCTCTTCAAAATCATCACTGTCTTGTATAGGTACGCGCGATCCCAATGATGAATGTAACTGTATTGTATACCTAAAATCCACCAGTAAACTTAATAGAGGAATTAAAAAAAATCACTGGACAGCTGGCTACAAGGAAAACACAGAAATATTGGAGCTGGATTATATTACAACATGAAAGTCTCCTTTTCAACAGAATATACACATAATGTCTTCTAAACCTCAAAATGGTGAAAAATGAAAATAACATTGATAGAATATGGAAATGGGAAGATAAATAAATGCCAACTAAAGCCAGTTTTAGAAATGATTGCAAGTGGTGTGGGAGGAAGCAATAGCAAGATTGAGTCTGTGTTAAGGATTCTTAATGTTTTCATTAGTACATCTTGCAAAGGAATATTTTTAAATATGTTCAGTTATGTTGATAGCATCAATAAATCATTAGAAAAAATGCAATGTGTATCACTGATTCCTCTTTTGTAACTATTTTGTTCATGGTCAATGGGTAGCAGGATGGTAGCATTTGCTCAAATGGTGTCTCAAACCCACCTCTGATCTCTCACCCAAACCACCCATGGCTAAACCATCACCACCTTATCACCATTCAAACCATAATCTGTTCTCAGTTAATTTCAGGATGTGTAAAATGATCAAGCTGTGTCTTTGTGTGTTTCCTCTAGGATTTGAGTTTTTTGAAACAAGTGCCAAGGATAATATTAATGTCAAGCAAACATTTGAGCGCCTTGTGGATATCATCTGTGACAAAATGTCAGAGAGTTTGGAGACCGACCCAGCCATCACTGCCGCAAAGCAGAGCACAAGACTCAAGGAAACCCCTCCTCCACCACAGCCCAACTGTGGATGTTAATGTCTACACACACACACACACACACGGGCAGCTCCAGGGGGCTCTGGTTGCCAAGAAATAACATTTATAAATGGTCTATTAGCCTTCACTTATACTGCCTAATAATTATTTAAAGGAAGTCTTTGGTGTCAATGGCCCATACATGCAAAATTCAAATTTTGGGAGATTTACTCTATTAACATGTGGCAAATATGTGATCTTAAATTTGTAAGGAATATCCATCTATAAACATCTGGTACTTGCATGTGACTTGTTTTCTTATTTGTCTGAAAGCCTCTTTTGTTTTTCCAAATTTTATCTCAGTTAAGCTACTGTTGATATTTCAACCAGTAATATGACAATTAACTTATGTGCCAGAGATTCAAATTATGCTATTTACCTGTAGGGATGGTGACCAAGGAATTACAGTTATGTGTATGTGTATGAGAAGGGGAGGGGGATGTTAGGAGATTTTTGCTTTCCTCTTAACTGAGAATCAAGTAGAGGTTTTGCTCTTGATTAGGAACACTGTTGTAGTTTACTATTAGAAAATGTAGCTATTTCCAATCTTATTAAACAACCAAGGAAACCATGACTTTAAAGAAACTGAAAATATTTTAAGGCCCTTGCAAGTTTCCTAACTCATTAATGTTAATCTGACGAACTAGATTTAAACAATGATCTTAGTTTACATGTTAAATAAGCAAATACCCTATCTAGGCCTGCTCTCTCTCATGATTCTACCCAACTTCCTCAATATTGTAGACATTAAATGGAGCGATGTCTATTGAATGAAAGCCAGTTATGCAGGCTATAGAATTCCAAGGCCCAAGTTCCTCCAGTTTCCTTAATGACTCTCCTCCGTCCCTGTAGCACATACACTGCCACCACCGCCATCACTTTCTGGAAACATCCTCATCTCTGGAAATAGGCATTAAGCTGGAGCTTGTTAGGGTTCCTATTCCTATAGGATATTCACTTGCTTCCTCAAACATTGCCTTCTGTTCAAACCTCAGCTATGTTCTTCTACCTACTTAGAAGCTACTTGAGTAATATTTCAGTGGATCCCTATTTGAATACCGTTTTCATATTTAATTTTTTAAATCAGATATTTATCATTCTAAGGCATATCCTCTCTATAAGTCTCTAAGTATGTTTAAGTTAAACAGAAACAACTTTGGAGCTGAAAGCTACAGAACTACTTAGAATTCATAGCAGTTTAAGAGAAGAGGAAAACATTTAAACATCCAGATTTTTATCCCAGATTTCCTGAAGGCCATGTATAAACAGTAAGCAAACAGTAATTTCCACAAGCTTTGTAGAGCATTGGTGAGGAGCTCAATTTCTACATCAATGTTTAGCATTATGTACAGCTAAGTTTTTAGGAAAGCAGCAGGCAATGTTTGACAGACTTGTGAAGACAGTTTCATTAATGGACTTCCTTTTTTCTTGGTCATAGTATTAGATGTTTCCCTTTTAGAAAAATAGAGATGCTTTCCATTAAAAATATAGGTTGCAAGGTTATTGAGCAAAGGTTTACATAGAAAAAATGTGCATATTTCTAAAGATATCTCTGAAGAAATAATGCCCTCAAGTCAGGGAAATAGCCTATACATACTATTAGTAATAAAAGGTGAAGATTGTGGTAGAGAGCATTTGCAGTGTTTTAGGCATACCCATGTTACTTCTCATCTTCTTAGTTTCAGATTCACTAATTGGTAGTAAATCTCTACTTTGACTCCTTGCAAGGCAAACTTAACTTACGAAGACAAGAAAATTTTGCTTTATTGGATTTTAATTTGTTTTATTAGATTTTAATTTCATAACCACAGAATGAAGGAAAAAATAAACAGGAAGCATACAGAAGAGATTGATCTGCCATGGTGGCCTGTTAGTACGATAGTATCATGTTTCTCTAACTTGAGCCCGAATGCGGCCATATGAGATGATATAGCTGCTATGTTTACAGTACCATCTACTATGAAGTAGTAAAAGCAGAAAACCTTTCTCATCCTCCCTCCTAGCCCCCATCCCACACATATATACATCACATGTGAAAGGCCTACATAGCATATGTCAATGGACCTTAATATATATATATATATA